TTGGATGGGGTGGGGTGGTGTGGTGTGGTGGATTGTGTGGTGTGAACTGGGATTGGTTGGTGTGGTAGATGGTTTGGGGCGGTGTGGTGGATGGGATGGGGTGGTGGTGGTAGTGTGGTGGTGGATGGGGTGGGTGGTGTGCTAGATGGAGGGGTGTGTTGGTGTCTTCTTTTTAGCCATTATTATCTGTTTTAGGAAGATTTTGATTGCCAAGAGTAACAGTGTAATAGGAGAAAATGTTGCACAAGCAGTCATACATGTACTAGTAGACAAATTCCTGTCTTGGTTGATTATTTTTCATTCCAACATTTAACACAAGACAATGACGGCACACTCAAGTTTTTTTTTCAACTTTTTATGCCGCCAACAACACAGAGGACAATGCATAAACAGGCAATATACAATACTTGGTTGATGTTTGTAGGCCCTGGTGCGGAGGTACAGGGAGGTGGATGCCCTGTTCCTGGAGGACTTCAGCACCACACCAGACCACATGTTTGCAGAGTTTGATGATGAGCCCATAGCAGCCGCGAGTCTGGCACAGGTGCACAGAGCCGTCACTCTGGACGGACAAGAAGTCGCTGTCAAGGTATGTTCTTTCACATATAAGATAAAAATAATAGGTATTGGTAGTTTCATAACCTTCTTTGAGGCTGAAAGGGCAGTGTTATCCACAGTGTCTAGGGCACAGTAATGGAAGGTGGAGCCAATCTGGTAAAGCCAAAAATGTCTATAAAACGGCTAGCGGACATTATCTGACATGATTTGGACATTGCTGAACAGAGGGCCAGTCGAGAGAACATTAAGTACTAGACATTTTACTGAAAACCGACATCAAAATAACCCAAGACGGACATTTTATATCTATAGTCTCTTCACACGTCAGGTAGGGACACCTTTGTTTAGCACAATATGTGTACTAATAAAGATATTAGCATCTATCCGTTAATTAATTGCGTCCCGCCCTCTAAATTGCCTTCTCTGTGTAGTGTTTGCGACTTTTCACAGTTTTTTCTAAAGTCATACTGACAGACACTTTGTGAAGACATTCTTAGATATGTTTGAAAAATGTCCGGAATTTTTGAGAATGTCCAATGTCCGCTAGCCATTTTCGGCTCTACCATCGACAATACGATGTGGCACTTTTTAATTTGTTCCGTTTTTCCTGTACCAGGTGCAGTATATTGACCTACGAGACAGATTTGATGGAGACATCCACACACTTGAGATTCTGCTGGACATTATAGCCTGGATTCACCCAAGCTTTGGATTCAAATGGGTGTTACAGGTATGGCTGCTGTTAGTCTATTTTAGGCCACACCAATTTAATTTGTTGCTTCTCGGATCGCCCTGTCCATTTTTTTTCTGATTTGAAAAAAAAAACATTTTTTTCGTTCTGCTGCAAAATGCTCAATGAAAGACATATTTTGGCCCCAACGGGTGAAGAAAGTCCTTTTCTTCATAGTTCTCAAGGAAACAATGCAATTTTTTTCATTAAAAGTTCAAAATCTATTGTTTTGATTATAAACCAGCCTGGTATGTTCACTTCATGGCTCATATTGTAACATTTCGGCTATCAAGTAGTACCTTGGCCTTTTTTTTAAATTTCGTCCTGTCGCTTCATATTTTTTCTGAAAAAATCTGAGAAACAGCAAATTAAATTGGTATGGCCTTAGACTATTTGATACTGGGTAATAAGGGGTATCCCGCCTAGGTGAGGTCAGACAGGTACGGTCGGTAGGGTGAGGGTGCTCTGTGATAGAAAAAAAAATAGATAACAAGTGAGGTGAAGTGGTGTTCGTGACGAAAACTAAAACTAAAATGTGGTGTTCTGTACATGACTGTGTCCTGTCTGTGATGTGTGTCTAAGGAATGGGGAGGAATGGCCATTTATATATTATTATATTAACTATACTAACACCAGAAGCACTAAGTTGTCACAATCTGTACTTTTATGTTCTGGTGTTGATATTACAATGTAGAAATGGGAGAAAGTTTTTACCTTCACCTAGAAGATACCTTTTGTGAAAATTGGTCTTTCTTAGACAGTATTATACATGTTGTATGAATTTGTGAATTGGGGAAAGATAAAACATGTAACATGTCTGTATGTAACTGATACAAACCTTGACACACCTCCCTCCATTGTCCCTTGTCATGTTTTGAACATTAATGACTGGTTTCTTGTTCTTCTGTTGACAGGACCTGAAAGGGACCCTTGCTGAGGAGTTAGACTTTGAGTTAGAGGGGAGGAACTCTGAACACTGTTCTGAGGATCTGAAGCATCTACCTTATATTCACATTCCTAAAGTCTTCTGGGACCAAACCTCCAAGGTAAGTGTCAATGGGGAAATACTGACACCATAAGGTATCTATTATTTGATTTTGAATGAACTTTTTATAATCTAATGCTGTAGTCCAGGATTCTCATCAGCATCCGTTGTTCAGCTTAATTAATATTAATACATATTAACTCATGAAGGATAAAAATTTTGCCATTGGGGCCTGTATGACAGACAAAACTGAGACAACCACCATTACTTAACACCCAGACCAACGGGTGCATGTGTTTGTACATGAAACAGGTACTAGTAGGGCCTGGCAGGGTGATACAAAGGCTGATGTACCACTAACAGGGCTCGAAATTCATTTTTGGGATATAGGTGCACTGGTGCACCCAACCTAAAACATTTATAGGTGCACAAAAAATCTTTTGGGTGCACCATATAAAACAAAAACTATTACAGATCTTACTGCTCCTCTTCTGAGTTTGACTCTGAAATAGGGGCTAACTGACAACAAAGATTTTATTATTTTATTGACACTTGTATGCCAAGAATATCCTGCATACTATTATACATTTGATATGTACAAAAATACCTACAAAAATATTTGGATGCACCAGTGCACCCACAGAAAAAGGTGCACTAAGGTGCACATGCACCCAGTATTTCGAGCCCTGACTAAGATAAAGGCAATGACTGAGGTTGTTGGTAGTTATGTAATACTTTGTAAATTTTATTGAATTGTATTTCTTTATTATTGGTATGTCACCCATAGAAAACAGACTGACAAACATAAAATCACAAGTAAACATTACTGTTACAATTTCTACACATTTGAAAAGAGGCGGTAGGAATGTTGAAAGTATGGCTGTCACATACTTGTAACTAAGTAAGAATGCACACGGTGTTGAAAACATGGTGCTGATTGTTACATGGTACAGTGATGTTGATATCTGTGTTACAGAGAGTGCTGACAGCCGAGTATGTTGAAGGGTGCAAAGTAACAGATGTGGAGGGGATCAGGAAGATGGGCCTTTCTCTAGCAGATGTAAGTCACAGCACAGAATTCATGACATTAGGCCACACCAATTTAATTTTTTGGTTCTCAGATTTTTCCAGCAAAAGTATGAAGCGACAGGACGGAAAAAAAAACAGGCCTAGGCATCCTATTATGGCCCCAAATGCAATGATAAGAGCCATAGAGTCAACACAAAAAGCTGGGTTAATATCTAAACACTGAATTTCAAACTTTCAATCAAACCGCTACATTGATAGATGGAAAAACTGTAACAACTAGGAAGAAAAGGACTTTCCTCAACTGTTGGGAGGCAAATCTGGGGGCAAAATATGAGCATTTTGAGCAGATTTTTTTTTTGCAAATCAGAAAAAAATGAAGAGGCGAATCCGAGAACCAACAAATTGAATTGGTGTGGTCTTAGTATAGAAATTTTTTTTAGAAACTTCCGAGCAAATGTCTGTATGGAAGCAATGGTGGCAGGAACCAAAAAAAATATTTGGCTCATATTTTGCACCGTAATAGCCTGCCGACTGCCTAAGTGAACTGTACTTCCCTCAAAATCCCTGAAAATACCCTTCTTTCTGCTCAACACCGATTGTTGCCATGCTAACGGGCCAAAAATGTTTTAGGTCCATTATCCTTAATTCAGACATGCACATGAAAATTAAAAATAGATTAAAAAATGTGAAAATCATTACTGTCTGTACTTAAGACAGGACTCGAAATACTGGGTGCATGTGCACCTTAGTGCACCCAAAATTGGAGATGTGCACCCAATTGTTTTCTGTGGGTTTCACTGGTTTACTCAAATATTTTTGTAGGTATTTTAATTTGTACATTTAAATTTGAATCCATATGCAGGATAATCTTGGCATCAAGCGTCAGAAAAATAATAAAATCTTTGTTGTAGTTCTGGTGTAAGATTTTGAAGTTAGCTGCCATTTTAGATTCAAGCTTAGAAGAGGAGCATTGAAATCTGTAATTAAGTTTTGTTTTATATGGTGCACCCAAAAAATTTTTTGTGCACCTAAATTTTTAGGTTGGGTGCATCATTGTACCTATTCCCAAAAATGAATTTCGAGCCCTGTAAAAAATGCCCTGAACAACACTTTAAACTGGTTGTTTAAAACTGTTCTTCCACAGGTTGATGAAAAGTTGATTACAGCATTCTCAGAACAGCTGTTCAGCACAGGGTTTGTACATGCTGACCCACACCCTGGCAACGGTGAGAACATTTATCAGGATTCTAAATCTTCTTTCTGATCCAGATGTTACAATGAGTTGATCTTGACAACAGCAAAAACAGTGGGGAGATCAGATGATAAGTCCACACCAATTTAATTTCTTGGTTAACGGATTTTTCTAGAAAAATAATGGAGCGGGCGGGCGAAAAAAATAAAAACAGGCCTAGGCATCCTATTATGGCCCAAAATGGTACGATAGGAGCCATGAAGTCAACACACCAGGCTGGTTCAAAATTTACACAATGAATTTTGAACTTTTAATGATACCACTGCATTGAAAGATGGCATAACTGTAACAACTAGGAAGAAAAGGACTGTTTTCAACTGTTCAGGGCGAAACATGAGCATTTTGCAGTTGATTCTGATTTTTTTTTTAATTGCAAATCAGAAAAAAATGAAGCGGGTCAATCTGTTAACCAAGAAATTAAATTGGTGTGGCCTAATATACAAAATGTACATGTATCCCTTCCTTCCAATACTCACATTTCCTCTTCTTCTTTTTCTTTCCTTCTTTTCATCTGTCTTCCTACCCAGTAACCCTTCTTAATTGTTGTCTCCCTCGCCTCTCGCTGATTAACCTTGTAAACAATCACATGTACCCCACAGTGCAAACACATGCATGCGTTCTTCACAGTCATGCGAAAAGTTTTTATATAGTATATTACATGGAAATGTAACAAATTCATCATTATATATAACTGAATTTCATGGCAGGGTTAAATTTAAGTTACATGTATGAGGATGACCTTAAAGACATGCAAATTTTGTTGCAAAGTCTGTTGCAAAGAGTGATGCTTGATTAAAAAAATCATGGTCTATACAGACACTGACAAAATGCCTTGCCACGTATTAACAATAATGTTTTATTTATTGAGTTTTATGCATCAGTCTAGACGTTACAGCTGTTACTTCAGTACCAATATGGTTATGTGTACGGAATGCCTTCACTATAGTCAGGAGACCATGGATGGATCATACAGATTTGTATATACATCTTATGTAAGATACAACAACTTTGGAATGTCAACTAAAAAGTTGCCACATGTACAATGTCATGTATTACATGTTGTGGGGTAGGTGTGGCACAACATATTTATGGATCCCTACATGTACATGTGGCAACTTTTTAGTTGGCATTCCAAAGTTGTTGTATCTTACATGATGTCGCATAGTTCTGATCATGCTATGAGCATAAATGTTTGTCAGTGGATAAATCCAGATACATTTTGTAATCCAGTCTTCCTGCTTTATTTTCAGTTCTTGTAAGAAGAGGCTGTGATGACAAGGCTCAGCTGGTTTTGTTGGACCATGGACTGTACCAGAATCTGGAGAAAAAGTATGTTTTTTTTTGTTTCTGTATCTGTATCTGTATAGCCGGTATAGCCGCCTATCGGTGTAATACACCAGCTTTGCAGGCACGCGGCGCGGCGGCAGCTGGCTATATTACACCGATCGACTTGTTACACCTAACCCTTGAACTTCTAGCTCTAGACTTATTGTTTAAAGCTATCTAATTAATGACAATGCCCCTACTGTACTTGGTGACAGCGAGTTCCACTCTGCGATACTTTTGGAAAGAATGAATTCTTGAACACCTCAATCCTTGGTTGATAACTCTGGTACTTGAAGGCAAGGCTATTTCTTGTTCTCCTCTGGGCTGGTATTTATAGGTACTTAGTAGTTGGGATGTCCACCAGTTTATTAGAAGTCATTTTGTACATCATGCATAGTCTTGACATCTTTCTTCTGTCTTCAAGTGATGCCCACTGTAAGTTTCTTTTCATTTCCGTGACACTTTTGCTATAATTGTATGTAAATTACTGCACGGTTTATTCTGTATCGCCCAAGCTGCCAGCCCAACTGCGAGTCAAATTGGCAGACAGTCGAACTTAGGAAGGCTGGAGGGAGGTCGGACCCACAGGAGGGCTGGGACCTGGCTGAAGCGATGCATTCTAAATACATATACATACCAACCTGATCATGAGACATCACATTTTTTAATGCCTTGAACTTTGGTATCCCTAAACAAAATATTGTACATAGCATGAAAGTTCATCTGTACATGATCAGTTCCATCCTCCAAGTCTGGTATTCTTATTTTGCAAAGCCGTGCACTGGGCACCACGTGATTCACACTTAAACAAGAGTTCCACGATCTCATACCTTCGCCAAATGATGTTAACCCTTGCGGGTGACGAATTATACAATTTTAATCATTGATTTTGTAAATAAGAGCCTCATTTGTATAGATTATATCAGTTGATCATATTCTCCATCTAATGACAGCATTATCATAACAAAAAGGCTATTATAGCACTTATGCATAAATTATGCATATGAGGTCATGATTTGAATAAATTATGTTTAGTGATGTTCACCTTCACTTAACTTCCAAATGTGGCAAGTATGAAATTCGGGGTGCAGCAGTTACAACTATGGAATTATAAGAATTTTCCATTAATTATGCAAAGTAGGTCCTCATTTACATAATTTATATCCTCAGATGTTTTTCTCTTTATCAAGTAGATGTCACAAGTGGTTCATAGTTCTATTATAGAACAAAGCAGATTTATAGAATTTCCTCATTAATTATGCAAATTAGCTCCTGATTTGCATAATTGCCATCTGATTATGTCAAGCATCACTTCAACTACCTACATACCAAAAATCACGACAATACGTCAACCGGTTCTTCAGTTATCATCCTTCAAATTTTTTTCAACAAATGCTCCTGCAGTTCTAGAACAAGGCGCTAGTGGACCCAAACTCATGTCACTTCTTCCCTACCCCAAGAGCTATCTACCAACCAAAATTCATGACCCTAGCATGTCCAGATCATGAGATAT